TTTCTTCCTGGCCTGTTCTCAGGGAAATTATATTAAATGCAAATCCTGAAAAAGTGAAGCCAAGAAGTAGACATTGTTTTCCTAACATAGCCCCATGGAAATTCTTCTGTAGGTTTCGAGAACCTCTGAAGTCAGAGGAAATAGATCAAGGTGACCCTACAGAGCTCAAACAATTCACTTCAAGCAAACATGGAGATGGAGATGGTACTGTTCACGAGTGAAACACCTCCCATTCTGATGAATGGATAAAGATTGTTATCTGTCACTTCTATACAATCTAGGACTTCAATTATATACTAACATTGAGGGAGAGGAAGATGGCCCTGAGGGTATGGTCCTGATCATCTCTGACACCTCCTCCTGGCCATATTAAGCCCCCGAGTTTTCTTATGCACATAACTAGTTTGAGGATGTGAATTTGCTGAAGAGGAAACATCCAAAGAATGGCACCCCCTTAATGAGATAGTTCCTCAAGGGCAAGGACAACCTTTACTTTACTATCCCATATAATCCTTAATATAGTATCCAATACAAAATAATAATTGCTGCAAATTGTAATTTTCACTACACTTTAGACGACACTAATTTTCAAAAATAAAATACACTTTTCAAGAAGGTACAGAGAACATAAAAATATAAAATAAATGTTAAAAGATAAAATAATATACTTCTTCAAGTGGTGAGCATTGAATTGACTTGGTCCAAAGCTAGCTTGGGATATTTTTTTTCTGTTGCTGGCCAATTGTTAAAATTTGGAGCCCACATAACATACACAAAATGGTGTGTTTACTGACTGAAATCATTTTCTGAGCTTCATGTACATCTGTAAACCAAAAAATACAGACCATTTTATTCTAGAAAAATACGAAGCCATAGGTCATAAACGTTGTTAGAGACTATTTATTTTTTTATTTTTTATTTTTGGCTGAGTTGCGTCTTCCTTGCTGCGCCCGGGCTTTCTCTAGTTGCGGCGAGCGGGGGCTACTCTTTGTTGTGGTGCGCCGGCTTCTCATTGCGGTGGCTTCTCTTGTTGCGGAGCGCGGGCTCTAAGCGCGCGGGCTTCAGTAGTTGCGGCACACGGGCTTAGTTGCTCCGTGGCATGTGGGATCTTCCCAGACCAGGGTTCAAACCCGTGTCCCCTACATTGACAGGAGGATTCTTAACCACTGCGCTACCAGGGAAGCCCGAGACTACCCTAAATAACCAATGTAACTATCAGTGCAAATTTGGCACCCATATCTACCCTACTTATACCCCAAATTAGTTTACGCAATACGTTTTATGAATTACTGAGTATATCTTAGGTACTCAAAAACAAATTGATTAAAGACATATCATTTTACCTTTTACCCACTGGCTTCTAGCTATACTTTACACATCTTGAATTTTAGCTAGATAAACCTTGCCCTAAAGTCACAAAAAATTTCATGGGGAGAAAAGATTAACATGTTAAACTTTTACAGATATTTTATATGCTTTGACATATTCATCAAGAAGCCTAGAACCACGCTGTCCTATATAAAATTTACCAGCAGCCACTTTTTAAAAATGGGTAAGTAGGGGAAATTAATTTTATTAATATATTTATTTAACCCAATATATCAAAAATATTTCAATATGCAATCGATATAAAAATTCAGACATTTTACATTCTGTTTTTCCACACTAAGTCTTTGAAATCAAGTATGTATTTTATACTTTAGCAGATCTCAATCTGGACTAACCACATTTCAAGTGCTCAATAGCCATTGGTGACAAGTGGCTACTGTATTAGAAGATGTCTATAGAGTCTAACCCCCTTTCTATCTCCAGTGTGATCATCACCTTAAAATGTACAAAAACAAAGCACATAAAAGTTGATCCAAAATTAATGCCCTGTTAAAATGGCAAGTGAAAAGTTAGTTATAGTGTTTAAACCTTTTCTAATTATTAAACAAGAAATTTATTTAAGAAAGGCTTTGCAAATTTGTTGACAATCACTTTTACAAATGCCTTGAAAACTGTTTTCTTCTTTCCATTACCTCATCAAAAGTCTTTTCTGGGTACTAAGTTATTTTGTTCTTTTTTTCCATTTGAGTTATTCATTTTGTCATTCAATAAATATTTATCTGGTGACAAGTATGGGCAAAACATTATGCTAGATGCAGTAAGGAGGGTAAAAGACACCCTACCTCTGCTTTCACAAAGCTTTCAAATTAGAAAGAAAGG